ATATCTTGCCTTCATAGAACTGGCTGCTGCGTCTACGTTTTCTTATTAAAGGTACTATAGCATCATTATAGTACCCGGGCTAGAAAGCTCATATTTTTAAACTCTTTACTCCCATCTTTTCCATTCCTACATTCAATTTGTCAGTTACATGCATAGGGTTATTGTTCCCTAAGTCTTTATTCCTTTCTATTTCCATAGCTATTCCTCTCATTATGGACTTTATCATTCCCGGAGCACAGCAGTAGCCTCCAAACTGGTCTCCTGTTATTGAGACTCTCTCTCTCCTCCATACTATCCCACCAAATTAATCTTCATGTTTGCTTTGAGTCATTAATTCTTTTTTTAATGATAAAACATTTAAAAGTTTTCTGATTATGAAAATAGTCATTACAGAAAAATTCATTACAAAAAAAATTTTCCCTAATTTTGCCTCATAGAAGTAGCAATTATTAAAATGTGTTTTTATCTTTTTAAATTGTAGTAAAATATAAATAACAATTTATCATCTTAATTGATTATTTTTCACTATACAGCTTAGTGGTATTAAATAGGTTTACATTGTTGTGCAACCATCACAGCCATCTATTTCCCTAATTCTTCTCTTCTTGTAAAACTGAAACTCTGTACACATTAAACAGTAATTCCCCATTCCCTGCCCCCCCCAACCCCTGTGAGCCTTTAATGCTTGCACAAAAATCCTCCAGTGTTTCCTTAAAGTCTAATAAGGCAGTGGCTTCTGAACCCAAAATAAGAAATTTTTTATCATGCCACAGGAGACAGGTGTATACACACAATACAGTTAAGCTGGAACAAAAGTTTCATAAACAATCCTTACAAAAATATTATTCTGATATTTCCTATTTTATGTCATTTAAAAAGTGCTAGCCACAACTCACTAAATTGATTTCATAACAGCAGTTTGACAAATACAATAAAAAATACACATTTGTCAGTCTTGATTTCGAAATTTTTCACAGATTCCAACCTATCTTCCTTGCCTCATTACCCTTCTACCTATTATATGTACTCTATCCAAAAATAGTCACCCCGGCTAATTTCCAGAACTTATCTTCACCATTCCATCTTCCAAGGCTCAACTCCTTCATAAAGTCTTCCCAGTCAAAAATAATTTCTCCTCTAACTTCCTAAAGGACTTGGATTGTACCACTGTTAAGTCACTTGCCAAATGTGAATCCTTGCATTCATTTGTGCACATGTCCTCACTCTGCTAACTGCTGGGTAGGCTCCTTATGGTGGGGGAGGTGAGGAGGGGGGAACTATATCCCAAACATTATCACCTAAATGAAAAAAAAAACAACTTTTAGGGCTTTATGAAGATTTTATAGATGTACAGCCATTATCGTTTCAGGTTACCAAATACTTAGAGCAATGAACTGCCATTAACTGCAGGTCATCCTCTTTATGACATTTGAACCAGTGGTTGAAAATAGGAAGTCACTGATCACTAGTGACCCAAAAGCTGCCACACCATTCTCAACCAAGTGGCCATTTTTTTCCATGATCAGCCAAGACAGTTTTCTGATATTTTGTGATATTATCCTACTTCGTCCTTAACCAGATTCATGTGTGCCATGTCCCATGCTATATGCTTTGATACCCAAAATAGATTTTATACAAAAATCAAATTGAGACCATTTTCCCAACTCTAATTAGGTTATATTAGATTTTGGTATGATATGTAGTGACCCTTTATACTCATGCTCTAAATAAGTGTTACTGAAAGCTCCAAGAAACACTGAAAAATTAGGGTAGCTAAGTTTTTTATTTCAAAAAGTACTATTCCACTGTACATTTTAGTTATCTTCAACATTATGATCTTTTCAGCTGAACACTCCTTTTCCACCTCAGTTTACTAAGACATTTGAAAGGAAAGCATAGAAAGGTACAATATAGCTATAAGCTCTGGAGGTTCAAGATAATCAGGTACCAAAAGTCAACAGTATGAATATTATAATCTAGATCTACTAATCAGTATAATTAGTAGCTCAATTTTTGGATATTTCCTTTAAAAAATTTTAATGAAAACCAGGCAGTTACCATGAAAAACACACACAGAGGCAAATTACTATTTAACAAAGTGACAGGATGAGGGAAACAGCTAATACACATTCCTAAAAAGAATTAATCTATATGTTAAAATCTGAGCAGACACTAAAATAAATTTTTATGTACTAAGAAGCTTTCCCCTCACATACCTCACAGTCAAATCATATAACATTTTTTTACATTTTATATACTTCTTAGTGTCTTATTGGCAGGATTTTGCAATTATTAAATTGTTGACAGTCTTGAAAGACCACAAATCTAAACTCCTTAACATGGCATGTAAGAGCCTTCAAATTGTGGCACAATATATGCTTTTCTACTCTCATCTATGACTAGCCACTTCCTAAACATCTTTTGTTAAAATGTTTTTATATACAACTGACCACATTGTGAATGTTTAATTTTTAAACTCTTCATAACTAGGCTATGAACTGCTGTTTCACAGGAAGTGGGTATGCACATTTTATATAAACACATATACATTCTCTTCCAATTAAAGGGAAAAACATAAGTAGGGCTGGGCATCAAATAGGATAAATTTTAAAATAAAACTGTGTCATAGTAATCTTTATCTCATTAAAGAAAATCCTGAGACTTCCCAGAAGGAGGAATATTAGACATCTGCTGAATCTTTAATGAAGATGATTTCTGTAACAAAACATTCTCCATTTAACAGTAACAACCTAAACAGAGCCTCTAAAGGTTATTAAAAGTAGGAAGATTTGTTTTTTCCATAATAATAGAAGGAAATGGTAATTTCAGAAGGAAGTAGGTATATAGGCATTACTAACCACAGAAATACGTTTGGATAAGAATGAAAACAGCTTCACCCACAGTTTGTAGTAATTAGGGTAAACCCTATCCACTCATGTAAGCAATTTTCAATTTTCCATTTACTTCAGGGAACCACCATAGTTTCCTGTCTTAAGAGATGTTTGTAAAATGTCAAGGGTCAAGCATAGTGCTTGGTACACAGAAAGGCGTTCAATATTTTTGAATGAACAAATTATTGAACGACAGAACACAATGGGCTCTCAAACTCTCCCTACTCCCTCTTAGGTATGCTATTATGTCTATTATGTGCTTTGGCACCTCTCCATGTCAATCATGATGTATTTCCTTTCCTTTATCCCAAGAAAGGCCCTGGTTATTCTTTCTTCCTTTAGAGATCTAGAATCTGTAATTACCCTGATCTCACTTGAAACTCCTCATTAAACAATAAAAGATACACTTTTCCCTTGGGCCTTCCTCAGGTCTCTCGCATACTTCTCCTGAAGCAGAGACTGGATCTAGCTGAAGATGTTGTTAAGATAAAACTCCTGGAAAGCAAGTTCTGCCTCCAGGTTATTTGAATTCCTCATCCCCATCCCTACTTAACAAGTAATTTATGGGCAATTTTGTTCTAAAATATTTATCATTACTGTCACACCAACATATTTACACATCAACTTACTGCAGCTAACTTTTTTTTTTCCTTATGCCTGATATCTTCTTCCTTCAGATGCAGCTAACTTCTTAACAATGGGGAAAACATTCAGAAAAATATTGAGCATTCTACTAATAGTCTAGTGAACTGAGTTCAGATACTGTGTATAAAATGCCTAGACTATCATTCTAGCACATCCATTATTTGGTTTAACAAGTATATACTTAGATTATAAATTAGTTTTTTCTAAATCAAACAATAGTTTTGGAAGAAAAACAAGACTGATACACAAAGTACCCAAAACATTTCAACTTTTTAGACTGTACACATTAACTATTTAATCAGAATATCTCCAAATTTCAATGTGGATAGTCCACATGATAAATACTGCATTGAAAAACCTAACATCCATTGCATAATTAATGGCTCATACACAGAAAGCTAGAGAAATCTGAGTGGGGAGAGAAAACCTGAATGTGCTAAAATGTTTAAACACTCTTTCGAATGCCCTGAGATGCTCAATTAAGAATAAAAAGATTAGGTTTCCAAGAATACGAAGTTTCATCTGTTTCAAGACAACTGAATATTGAATCTCATTAAGATTTTGACATATTCTATAAACATCTGCTTAACTCCTGTTTGCCATTCTGTATTTGAACACAGTGACCAGCCAATTCTTTTTCCTTGTTTACACCAAGTGCTGGTTTTGCACACAACTCAAAATGGAATTCCAGGCCCCAAAAGTTACCACCCCAACTTTTACCCCACAGGTAGCTACTTAACAGCTAATAAGGAATTCAAGTGCAAGTCCCAAAGGTCTCATTTCCATGCTAATTTCACAACCCTTTTACTAGCCATATGACAATTAAGGTTTAAAGAGGGGGAGGTGCTGAGGAAAGAGTGAATCTCCCCAAAATTCCTAATATTAACACTGCAAGAAAGTATCCAGCTAACAGTAGAATTTAAACAGCTCAAACTTGCAGTTCAAACAATTACTATGTTTCACTTTCCTTTTTATGGGGGTTGGGGTGTCCTACCTTCTTAAGCTTGAATATTTCCCCCCCTTCACACTGACATGCTTCTCATGTCCCCAAAATAAATCCCGCCTATTGCCATTCCATCCCCCACCAAGGCCAGCAGGAATGGTTTTGGGAAGCCGATATTCAAAAACTGGAATCTTGAAGTGGCAGCAGGTGCTAACAGCGCTAGGACCCGAGCAGCACATTCCTCCTAAAGCGAGAAACCAGCACCCCAGGGGCTTCGAGCATCACTTGGCGGCTATCCGAGCCGCGGGGAGGATGCGGTCTGACCTTGCCCGCGCAGCTCGGCGCCCAGCCCGCGGTCAGGGCACCGCTCCCCCTCCGCAGCCCGCGAACCCTCGCCTCTTCTCCCCACAGCTCGCCCCCTCCAGCCCGGTGCCCCTGCCACAGGAGACGCGGGGACTCGCAGCATCTCCGGGCACTCGTGAGGTTCCCCCAGGCACTGGCCGGAGCACCGCACGACCCACCGAAACTTCCCAGAGGCGCCAATTCGAAATTCGCGGGACCCGCCGCCGCCACGCGCCTCTCAGCTCGCTCCGGTCCGTCCGTCCGCAGCCCCCTCTCCCTCTCTCAGGACCTTCCAGCGTCCTGCGCGGCGGGAAAACGCCGCCAGGTGCCGCCCGGCCCCGGGGGCTCCCGTCGGACCTCGGCTACTGCTGGGGGCCTCGCTCCGCCAACCGCCGCGCCGCGCGCGCCCCGCACGCACACTCACCAGCCCGAGCCGGAGCCGCCATCTTGGCGCTCACCCCCGGCGCCCCGGACCCCGGCCCCCGGTTCGGCGGCAGCGGCCCGGTCCCGCGCCTACGTCACCCGTGACGCGCGGCCGGCCCCGCCCCACGCCGTCGGCGTGCCCCGGGGCGCCTCAGCGCGGGAACCGCGGACGGCCCACGGAGAGCGGGCGGCGGGGCTTCAAGGTCAGGGCCGCGGACTTTTCTCGGCGCCGCACGTGGCTCTGCGTGGACGGCCGAAGCTTCTCCCCGCCGCGGGCTTCGCACCTGTGGTGACCGTCGGGCCCGGGAGCATAAATCCAGTGTTTCCTAAGTGTTTGGGAGATGCAGAATAGTCCACAGGCGGCGTTAGTCCCTCAATTTCTGCGACTCACAGGAGCGTCGAAGTGTTTGGCAGAAACACTTGCCAATTCTGTTATTCTTCAAAATCTGCCCAAGTTCACTGGCCTAGAAATTCTTCCAGAAAACGTCTCCTTCCCAGAGGAGCACCTGGGTGTAAGCGCCAGTGGTGGTGACTGCTGTGGCTTGGGCTTCCTCACACAGCAGAAAGGCCAGTGAGGTTCCAAACAGGGAACTGCCTGGGCAGTAAGATCTAATGGGCACGAAAAAGCATCTCTGCGCTAACTTGACTAACCTGAAATTGCCGATTTGAGATACTGAAGTAAATATTGAAAAGAAAGAATAGACTAAGGGGGGGAAATCTGGAGAAGAGGAAAGACAAGCCTACAGGTAAATGAAAATTAATCCATTCATATTTAATGAGTTCTTTGTGCTCCGCTTTGAGGCAGTTCCACCTCAGCTACCCAGTATATACTGAAAATTTAAAAACACTCCAAGGAGAGTTTAAAATGAAGCAAAACAGCATACAAAGTTAACAACAAGTCAGTGGAGTGCAAAACCTTGCAATACAAGGAAAGCTATAAAATTGCTCATGTCTTTTCCATCCAGTTTCACTCTGGGGAAAATCTTGTAGTGGTATGAACTGAATAAAGAAATGAATGCACAAGGTTATTCATAGCACATTATAGCATATTATCTAAACACCAAAAATTTGAAGAGGAAAAAAAAAAGTCTAACCAAAGGGAAATGGCTAAGGTCTGACATTGTAACCTCAGAAATTCCTATGTAGACAGCAAAATAACAAGAGTGTCTAATGAATTCCTATTTGAAAAAAAATACCAAATATGTATGTGAAGGTTGCAACTGCATAAAATGTAGTCATGCAAAGAAGGATTAAAGGTAAGCAATGAATTTACATAATAGCTTAATACACCTTTCATTCTTGTTTCAATATATTTAAGTGCATAATAATTCCAATTGAGTTCTGTTCCCAGTGCATTTCTTCCACCCAAATCACATAAACTGTTGTCTTGTAATCTTGCCTACCACTTGAATTTCTAAAGTGCACTAAAAGCATTACATGAGGGCATCTCTTAAAAGGAAATATTTAAAATTTAAGTATTTCTGGCATACAATATGGTTTTGCTTGTGATTCCTTGAAAGTAAAATATAACAAAGGTCAAAACCCTTGCTCTCCCATCTTAATGTCATAAAACCATTGTGGAAGTTCGTCTGGAAGACTGTAGTTCTGGTATGAGCCTTAGTTGCCTCTTTCTGATCTAGTAATTCTACTTGTAGAAATACAAAGTTTTTACTGAGACTAAGGCAACTTAGACTGTACCTCTCAATGTTATTTAGAATAGGGAAAACCAGAAACCACCTAACTGTTCATTCAGTGCTATGGGAATGGTTCAGTAAATCTGGTATATTCATATGATAGACTATTATCAGAATATTATTTTCAAAACATATCAGGTAAAAGGTATATAAGCCAAGCCAAACTGTGCCTGCTATTCCCATTCTTCCAAGAGTTTCCTTTTTCATAAATTACCTTACTGGTACTATATAACCCCTCTTCTCTCTCCCAACAGTTTTTTGGACTGGGGTGGGCACCAGATCTAAGGGCAGTTAATCTGTGGGAAGTTTGTTAAAGCTCTGCTCAAACACAGAGCAGGATGAAAGAGAGGTTGGGTGGGTTTGAGTAATGGTTTTAAGGTAAGTTGAGGAGGCAGAGACACCAGGCAGCAAAAGCTGCAGGAGAGTAAAGCCGTAAATAATCAGAGGATATAGAAAGTAGCAGCTGGGTTCAAGAGAAGTAGCAGTATCAGGGGTGGTGACTGAGTAGAACTGCTTGGAGCCCAGGAACCTCTAAAATAACTGTGTAAGAGTAAACGCTAAAAGATGCAAAAATGTATATACTGTATTTAAAAATATGCATATATTATATTCACATTGAACAACACTGGAAGGAATGTATCAAAACTTTAATAATAGTGTTGAGATTATAAGTGATTTTTCTAAATTTTCTAAAATAATCATAATTTTAAAGAGAAGTATTTGAATTCTAGTCAAAATAAGCTGCCTGTGGTCAAAGAGACTAGCAGACAGAAGTTCAGAGAAAGGAGAATTTCCTAAGATTATAAAGGTGACACTTAGGCTGGGTCTTATAAGGACTAAAATGATGTGAATAAATGAAGAGAAGGAGGTGAAATGGGAAGAAAACAAAGCACAGGCCAGCCGAGTAAGGCATAGGTGGAGCGAACTGAGTAGAGTGTCCTCAATAAAATGCCTTGAATGCAAGGATGTAAGCTAGGGAGAGGTGCTGAGTGGGAGGGCAAGAGGCTGAAGAAATTATCTGAAGATTGCTGTTAAGTTTGTAATTAAAGAGTATATAATGTTTGTAGCATAGCCTTTCCTTTACACTAATTATTTATTCAACTTTGAAATTTCCTCAGCTGCCATTTTATTCCTGAAGTTCACTACCTAGGACTAAATTATGGCATGCTTGTTTATTGAGCTCCAGAACCTCTCTACTGAAATCTCATTTTCACATAGCAGTCATAATTATTCTTCTCCTTTAATTTTCCTATTTGTTTTTTACCCATCTCATCAAATCTAAGCTTTTATTACAATGACACTTTTTGAAAAGCCTCCTTCTCTTCCCATCTTCATCAACCGACATTCCCAAACTTACCTGTTTATATCCTCAAAATCAGTGTTCCCCCAAGTCAGCCTTTGGATGGCTAAGAGATCAGTCCCTTTATGGTGTCCCACACTTGAGGCATTTCCCACCTTTAAATCGGGGTAGATGTTTATCTCCTAAGTAGAAGGCCCGCCAGCTTTCCACTCCCGCAATTCATTACAATCAACCTCTTTCAGGGTTAGCCTAAACTCTCACCTCCTGGAAACTGCTTTCCTTAAGTAACAACCCGGCTTCCAGATCTCCATCCCCCAGCCCAGCAGCACATTATTATGCAGTCACCGCTTTTGTTCTGAGTTCCGAGCCTGGTTCCCTCTATTTGCATTGTAACCTCTCTGGGGGCCAGGACTGTGCACTTGCTCCATTTGTGTACCTCTCCAGAGCTCTTAGTATAGTAGTGGCCCAAAATACTGTCAAAATGCATCATGAATGAACAAAATTAGTAGTTCTCTAGCATAATATAGGGTTGTGGAAGTGATGTGGAGGGGGTTTCCCTTGTTTTCACAGCCCCCACGCTGGGAGAAATGGCAGTTTGCCCTTTTTCCAAAGTAAGCACTTTCCTAAACAAGATAAAATTTTAATGACTCTGGTACCTAATTAGTGTGTAACTACTCAATTCTAAGGTACAACACAAACTGGTTTTGCTCCTTGTTATCCTGAGAAGATTGTGAATGAATTAAAGAACAAAATATTGTACCGTTTAATAAACCTTAAGGCTGCTTTTTATGCTCCGTGTTGGTTTTTAGAATTTTTCTAGTCCAGTCTTTCATAAATCTGAGAAATATTTTAGAAATCGTAATTGTAGACTAAAGAATTTGAGTTTGTCAAATTTTAGGAAACTACTTAAAAGAATTTTTCAGACTTTTACAGAGTGAATCTATCTAATAACATTAAGATTCACTGAACAAAAAAATTGTTTTGAATAGCTATGAGCCTGGTACCATAACCGTGCTAAACACTGAACTGTTCATAGCCTTCATTTCAATGTTATGGGGAGATGAAAGATTGAATAGACGAGGTGAGTAAAACATACTAAAGAGCTTATCCCTAAAGTTAAATTTAGGTGTAGGAACACACTTCAGGTGAACTTTTTAAGTGAGAGGGACCCAAACGACCTTAAATTTCTGGCAAATTCGGAGAATAATATTGGAAAAAAGGACAGCAGATGTAAGAAAAGGCCTTAGTAAGCAAATAGAGAGGAAAATGAGCTGAAAGAAAGGGCTTTAGAATTAGTCTTTTAATTTCTAAGAAAGAATGAGGGCTAGACATTGTGGCCCAGGCCTGTAATCCCAGCACTTTGGGCTGCTGAGGTGGGAGGATTACTTGAGGCCAGTAGTTAGAGATCAGCCTGTCCAACATAGCAAGACCCCATCTCTACAAAAAATTTAAAAATTAGCCAGCCATGATGGCATGTACCTGTAGTGCCAGCTACTTGGAAGGCTGAGTTGGGAGGATTACCTAAGCCCAGGAATTCAAGGTTACCATGCCATTCACTCCAGCTTGGGCAACAGAGTAAGACTCTATCTCAAAAAAATAAAAAGGAAAAAAAGGAGGGTGGTGGCAGGTAGGGAAGGTAAATGCAGGCTGAGTAGATGGTACTAAAGTTGTTTTAAAGAACTGTTAAATGTTTATTTGGTGGTCTGTGAGGGAAACTTGTACCTTGGAGGTGAATTTCCAATGTAGGCCTCCTGGAAACTGAAACTGAGCCCAGGATTTAGGTATTAATGGAAGCAAAATTGTGAAGCTACTCTGTCCTTTTGTCACTCCTTTTAACATCCACTTTATCTCCACCCTACTCAATTTTTCAGGGATCCTTAGGCTGCTTGTGCTCATGGCTTAACTTCAGGAAAGAGGCTTTTCTCTCTTCCCTCCTATCAAAACTTTTCCCATTTTGTTCAGGACAGGTACCCACTTGTAAATTATTCATGTTTAGTAATTTTATTTTATCTTTTTTGCATTTCTCTCTCTTTAAGGCTGTTCTAATGGGAACTCCTATAGAAACACAGAGTATGGAACTTC